CCAACAAATATATCAACGCCAGTTCCGGGCGAACAAGTTATTGCTGGCAACACTAATACTGTCGCTCTCTCTGCACCGAATTCCAATATGTTGGTGTTATCGCTACCAGCATCTATGCCTTCCTCAAGTTCCAACAGTAGTTCAAATTCATCATTTATCTACACGCTAAGTGGTGATAGTACATTTTTTAATAGCTCTGAGTTGTTGAGGGCGATTGAGCATTATCAGCTGCAGCGTAGCCAGCAACAACAGCAGCAAATACACTTACAGCAGCAGCAACAGCAACAGCAACAGCAACAGCAACAGCAACATCTACATCTACAACAGCCACAACATTCACAATTAGTTTTTGGGCAGTCACAAATGGTTCAACTGCCACATCCACATATTGAACAGCTGCAGGTGCCGCATCCACAACAGCAACAAATGGAAGTGTTTCTCCATCAGCATATGGATCAAAAGCAACAGCAACATATTCATATATCACAATCTTTAATGACAGAGCACAGTTCGCAACAGCCACAGCAAAACCAACAACAACTACAACAGCATCTGCAGATTTCACATCCATTGGCGATCGAATGCAGCCCACAACAACAGCAGCAGCAACATCAGCAACAGCAGTTTCAAGTGGTGCCCACGCCTCAGCCGGTTATATATCAATTATTAGATGTGACACAGGTAAACACTTCTACTACCACACAGCTAGAGGATTGTAATGCCCTTACGGCAGAATATCAAATTAACCCAGATTCCATATAAAAAGCGATGCTGCTATAGTTATTAAAATCTCTGGTTGCAAACAGTAGCCGTCTTAGTTGAGATCAGTAGAACTGCACATTCACATGAAATTCCTTTTTTTTGTGAGGTTTGGGTTTAATGGCCGGGATATTGAAATCCACACAATGCCACGTTGAATCTCCATGAATGTTGTAGTATTTGGATTTTATAAATGTGGCACTTGCTGTAACCACTTTGACAACTTTGGTTAATGGATGCAATTAGAGATATTTTGTTATTATCATTTACCTCAAATTTCATTTCTGTGAGTATGTCATCTACATCATCTTTAGAAAAAATTGCACCAGCTAATGGTGTGAGCACGATGAAGTCCTTGGTAATCAGGGCTACAAACCACTCTAAAAAACGGGGCGGTTTGGTTCAATGGTTCGAACCAATTAGAAAAGCTTGTACTGGTTCAAGAACCGGTTCATGAGTATTTCTGAACCGCGGTTTGGTTCGGTTCAAATGGTTCAATTTTTTGAATGTCAAAGGATGCAAATACTACAAAAATGTCATAAATCTACGTATATACATATATAAATATAAAAGCCTTTTATTGAGATCAAATTCAAATATCCACATGTATAGTGGTGTAAATTTTATGTTTATTGTTTTAAGTATAATTTGTGCAAAAATTATGAAAATTCTTCAAAGTGTCATCTAACTTGCAAAACTTTTTAATAAGAATTTCTAGAAAAAAATTTTTAAGTTTTAATTTGATTTTTGGTTATTTTTTCACGGATTTTCTTCCATACATGTATGTTCGACAAATTTTTTGTATGAAAAAAAAAAACAAATATATCCACAAGTATAGTGGTGGAAAAATAAATAGGGACGCGACATTTTTAAAATTGTGGCAATTTTTTTGATTCAATGTTTCTTGTTTGGAGTATAGTGCATATTCTAATAATAACCGAATTTATCCAAGTTTGAAAATGTGTGCAAAGATTATGAAAATTCTTCAAAGTTTCATCTAACATGCAAACTTTTTAATAAGAATTTCTAGAATTTTTAAGTTTAAAGTTCACTTTTGGCAATTTTTTCACAAATTTTTAACCATACATGTATGTATGTTCGACACATTTTTTGTATAAAAAAATAGTAATACACTCCACAAAAAAAGTATTTAAAATCAACGCGATCAATGCGAAATTGGAAAAATTTTAATAAACTTATTTAAGGTTTGGACAAGTCGTGTGTCTAGTCGAGTAGACAAAAACAATACACTCAGAATTGACACTCAAAATCTTGGCTTAATGTTGAAACCCTCATTTTCGGTAGGTGGAGCTTACACTAGGCCTTAACCTCATATTTACATGGATACCTCTGGTCAAAATAATATGATTGCGATATTTGACTATTTTTCTTTCGTTTCTTTAATGAAGCTTTGTACGAAAATTAGAAAAAATCTACAAACTTCAACAAAATTTCATTGTGGTTTAAACTTTTTAATCAGATGGCTCATTCAAATTTAATATAATAAGTGCAAGTTTGAATTACATATCGTAAAATCCGCACCGATTTTTGATATTTTTTTGCTGGCGGTGGTGCATTTTCTTCCATATAAAAACATTTCAAGCATTTTTTATATAAGCGAAATTATAACTAACACAGATGCCATTAAACTCAAAAATGTTTGCAGTTTTACCATAAGGTTGCATTTTTAGACAAAGTTCTGTACAACAAAACGTGAAAAATGCTTTAATGGATTTTGAACCGAAGCGAACCATTTTTTGGATGTGGTTTTCGGTTCGGTTTTAGCATTTCAAAATAAAAATGGTTCGGTTCATGTTTCGGTTCGAAGCCTGAAAAAAGCGACGGTTCGGTTTAAAAACCGGTTCGGTTCAAAACCGGTTTGCAGCCCTGTCGGTAAGAGCACAGTTTACCAGATCTACCATTGTTGTAGATGCTAACAGACTTGCCTGTTTTATCGTGAGTACTATTTTGTTATTTTCTGCTGTTGGCTGTGATGTTGGCGGTTGTGATACCTTGAATGTGCACACCATAGCAGTTGCAAAGAACATTATCATCTTTAGTTCTGTATTTGCAAAAAAAAACATTACATAATAAATGATACGAGAAACAAAAAACATAAATAATAGGAAAATGATACATATGACATATGTAACGTGTTTGCTGCAAGTAATTATTTAAAATTTAACATTGGCTTTTTGAAAGAAATTTGCTAAATCAGTGATTTTGGCTACATTATTCTCCCTGAAGATTTCCTCAAAATTGCATGCTTCTTTGAAGACGTTGTGGCTGGATCTATGTGCAGACAGAAAACGACAGTGGAAAGTTTGGTGTTCATAGCCATCCGGGACTCCACAGCGACATAGAGCCGAATTGAGCGCTTTAATTTTGACAAGGTATAGCTTGTCGTAGGTGTGTCCAGTGAGGACTCTATTCAACGTTTTAATTTCTTTTGGGGCTACTTTCAGCTTTTTAAGCCACGTAGTACTGCTCCTTGTGGGAAAAGTAGTGGCGAAAAGGTTTCTGTTAGAGTTAGAATAGGCTTAAAAGTTGTTGTAAAATTCATCATATATCCGATTTTTGATCCGCTTACATGCCTCATCTATTGTTAGTTTAACTGTTTTACTGCTGTTAAGTTCAATCGACTTTTTAGCGAGCTCATCTGCTTTTTCATTGCCTGGTATATTCTTGTGGCTGGGAATCCATCTGATTTGTACACTATGGAAAGGGTTTTGGCTTATTTTTTTTATGTATTCTTGCCGCTATACTATTGTTTGAATGCATATTTTTGAGAGTTTGACATGAAATTAGGCTGTCAGGATTGAGCTGGCATGTAAAGAGGTAGTTGGTGTCGTGGGGGGACTCTCCACATGCCGGGCACTCATTGGGGATATTGGGGTCGAGTCTGGACAGGTAGCTGTTAAGGCGGCTACAGTATCCAGACCGTAATTGAGCCAGGGTAACGCGGGTCTCTCGTGGCAGTTGAAGCTCCGTCTCTTCTACAGGTGGTCGGCGATACCCCTCAAGGAGAAGTATTCATTTTGATTGGCTATGTCTATTGCTTCCTCTATGGCTAGTGATTCACCGAACGCAGACGATGACTTGAAAGGGATATGAAAAGAGTGTTCAACGTTTGTATTTAATATATAGATTCCACAGCCCGTTTTGTCCACAGATAGAGACGCATCCGTGAACATAATGGTATAGTTTCTCTTCAAATAGTCATCAACAATTGAGGCATGTTGGGTTTTTATGCATTCGACTGCCATGTCAGTTTTACGGGTGAGAGTTTTTTTCCTATAATTTCTAAATTAGTGGCTAGTTGATGCGAGGGAATTACATCAACATCATCAAGATTTTCTGCAAATTTGTTGTACACAATAGAGTAGCTAGAATTTAGGAGCAGGTTTGATTTGATTGAAGTTACTATTGGGTCTTGTAAGGCTGTCAGTTTAAGTATTTCTTTGGCTGTGAGCCATATTGCTCTTTCAGATGGAGGGAGCTCATTTGCTAAGGCGTATATAATTGGGATTGGGGTGGACGGGGTAACACCCAGGCATCTTCTCAGGATTTTGTTCTGCAATATCTGGATTTTACTGAAGGCAGATTTGGGACTGTTGGCAAGAGTAGTGTTGCAGTACTCGATCTTAGATCGCACCATTGCCTTATATATGTTCAGAGATTTTTGTGGATGTAGGCCGGACTTGATATTGGTTATGAATTTGAAAAGGTTCAAGTTTTAGCTGGACATTTCTATTACATTGTTGTAGTGGTCTTTTGACGTGAGAGAGCTGTTAATAATTCTGCCCAAGACTTTCACAGAGTATGGAAGTATTGTGTTATTTATATTTATACCAACTTCTTTTTTTGGGCCTCTACTAATGTATAGAACTTTTGTCTGGCTCGGGTTGAACTTGAGATTTAGATGGTTGCACTTATTGGAGAAGAGATTTAATTTATACTGAAGGTTGCGATTTGCATCTTCAAAGCTGGCGCCTGACGAGACAAAGAAGAAGTCATCTGCGAATTGGTATATGTGTGTATTCTGATCAATTAGGTCATGCAGGTTTGCAGTGTAGATGTTGAACAAGGTGGGGGAGAGACAGCTGCCCTGAGGTAGGCCGTTGTGAATTTCAATGGTGTTGCTTCCAAGTTTGAGAATTCTAAAGGCAAGGAAATTAGTTATCCAATCGACATACAGTTGTTCAATATTGAGATTTAGGAGTTGCGTTTTTAAAATATTAATGTCTACACAGTTGTAAGCGTTTGAAATATCTGTGGTGCATACAATTATGTGTTTTTTTTATCTTTTTTGAGTGCGGCTAGTTGGTGAAGCATCTGGTTTAGACACATTGCGGCTGATTTATTGTTCCTATAGGCATATGTTGTGGTTGGAAGTTGGCTGTTATTTTCTAGAAATTGGCATATTCTCTCTTTTACACAAGAGATAATTACTTTTAGGAGTACTGGAATTAGGGCTATGGGTCTGAAATTTTGGAAATCACTTAACTTTTTGTCTCTCTTTGGGATAGGAACCACCTTAATTATTCTCCATTGATCGGGAATTTTGTTGGTAATGAAAAAGTCATTTAAAAAAGTCTTAAGGTTATTTAAAGTAAGATCAGGCAAACGCCTGAGCATATTGTATGATATTCGGTCTACTCCTGCCGCTGAGTCCTTTTTTTTCGTAAGAATTGTGTCTTTGATTTCTTCGAAAGTTAATGCCAAGTTGGGGCAAGGTTCTGTAGGGTTGTTTAACGTTAGCTGTGTGCTCTGTGTTGGGACCTGATCTTTCAAGGAGTTCAAGAAAAGTTGATTATTGTCGCTGTTCCACATTCCTACATGATCCTGGGTATAGTCGCCTCTCAGCGCTTTGATAAAGCACCAGCCCTTTTTTCCTATACCTGCGTTTAGTTCCTTGTTGT